CTAAGAATTAGAAAATTTAAAATCTATCAATTTGATCAATTATTACTTAACTCTATTAATTTGGCAAGAAACAATATTTTTATAATTTTTTTAACAAAAAGAAAGAAAAATACAACTAAAAAGGTAAAATAAAGAGGAAAATATGTATTTCTCACCCCCACACCTAAATTTTGCATTGTCCTCAATGCAAATTCGCTGAAGCACAAAGTAAAGTAGATAAAATTGAAGAACTTATATTTGTTCGATTGACAATGATGATAAGGATCTGCAATTACTGTTAGTATGAGGATGAAGAAATCAAATAAGAGGAAAATTGTAAGTAATTTAAATTTTTTTTAAACTATGTTACTTATTCAATTTTTTGGTTTTTTTTAAAGTGAAAAACAAAAAGGTGAGAAAATATGTATATTTTTTTTAAATGAGGAAATATGTATAAATATTTTTTTTATAAACATGTATGTATTATTTTTTTAGAAACTATTCGAAATATTTCTTTTTTTTTATGTGAAAAACAAAATGAGGAAATATGTATATATATATATATATATGTTTTTTTAGATTTTTTTTTGAAAAGAAAAAAAAATTATTATTATTATTATTATTATTATTATTATTATTATTATATATAGGTTGATCAAAGATCAATTAAGTACCTCTTTCCTTGCGGAGCGCATTACGCAACCCCTAAACCTTGCCTTAGACACCAACTAATCTGAGAAAACTTAAACCGGTTCACTTAAGGATTTCTTGTTCCTTATTGAGCTCGATTCCTTAGGGCCAACGTCTAATGAGTTTTATTAGGCTTGGGTTGTCTAGTGAGGAATTAGTGATTTTGGGCTAAGGAAAGGGTGATGAAATCCCTTACCTTATCTTGATTTGGGGTTTTGCCCTTAAAAATATTTTCAAGTGTGTGTCAAACCAAGATGCTCAAATCACTTTGGTGAATTCCTACTAACTATATGAAATGCAACCCTAGAAATTAAAAGCGACTAAAAAGGATGGAAAAGAAAAATCTTTTTTTTTTAATTATGGTCAACAACACTCAAATGTGAGAAGAGAGCTCTTGTTTGAATTTATTATCTTGTTAGTTAATGTCCAAGTGAAAGGTGGATTTTATTATAGTTAACAAAAATAAAATCTTTTTATTTTTTTTAAATTCCTAATTGTCTCTAATTGTGAGAAACTAACTAAAGGTGTGGAATTAAAAATATTAGAAAGAAGACTTCCAAAATTGCAAGTGCACAATTTATCAAGTTATAGTATAAAAAGATATCGATCCCACGAAGAAGGTGATTTTAAGAGATTATTAAACTTGGTTCTTATATTTTGTGCGTGACAATTAGGAATAAAGAATAAGTGTGATTGTATGAGTGGTTGTTTTGATTTATATGCAAGAGGTAATAAATTGAATTTTAGAGGAGAGAAGGAAGAATTAAAGAATAAATGAAATCACAAGGCAAGAAATATGAATTAATAAAATCAAGAAATAAAACCAAAAATGAAAAGAAAATTTAAGAAAGTTAAGATGAAGGATTCAAAAGAGGTAAGAAATCTAGAATATAATCCACTAACCAATTTCAATTACAAAATATAAACTATTCTCTTTTTATCATATTTCAACTTAGATTTATTAAGCATAGATTATCAAACCATTTAAGGAAAGTGTAACCTATCAAATTATCATCTAAGCTAAAATTACTATTCATGATAAGAACAACAACATGATAATAATCCTAGAATTCATAAGCATAACCTATCAAACCATTTAAGATAAGCATAGATTATCAAATTCTTCTTCTACCGATTAGTTCTCTAGTTGATTATCCTAACATGAACATTTTAAGTACAAGAGAATAATTCATACAATATAAAAGAAATTAGACTAGTTTCATACAATTCTAAGATTCTTACAAGAATTAAATTCACATCTTAAGAAATAAAAACAAGAAAAAGAAGACTAATTACAAAATTAAAAAGAAAAGAAAAATCTAAACTATGAACAAGAAATAAATCTAATTACAAAGAAAATAAAAATCTAAACTACAAAATAAATTGCAGAAATTAAATGCAAGAAAAATAAATCTACTCTACAAATTAAAGTGCAAAAAGAAATAAAAAGACAAGAAAATAAATCTACACTACAAGCATGAATTTAAATCTAACTAATAAGCAATAATAAAGAAATTACTAAAAAGAAATAAAAGAGAAAAGAAATGCAAACCTTCAAATTGCTCTTCATCTCCATCCTCATCATTCAACAAAGAGGAGAAAGAACAAATTTAAAGAGGAAAAAATTATTTTTATTAATTGCAACTAAAGTTACAATTTTTGGAAGGCCTTCTCAATTAAGAGTAGCTCTCCTCTCCAAAAGGAGTTTATAAAATTTTCACACTCTAACCCCTCACTCTCTACCCCTATTTATAGTAAACATCAGTGAATGAGAGTCATTGGATTTGTCTTGAGCCCCAAGCAACTATCTCCACCTTTGAATTTGCTTTTTAATTTTCTCAATCACAAGAGGCTTCATTGATTTTCATCAAGATCCGGTTTTCATTCATCTGCAGCCATCACCTTTGAAGTCCGGTCCACTGATTTTGAATTTCAAATTAAATCAAGTCCATCTGCAGCTAAGTCTTTGGCCCATTATTCATTTGATTTTCTCCATTCAAAATCTGCCACCAAGTCCAATGTCCATCAGCAGGTCCGGTCTATTTGGAAATCTGCAGCAACTAAGTTCACATTTCTTTTGATTTTCTTGTGAAAATCCAAGCAAGTCCGGCCCTTTTTCTTTTTCTTTCTTTTTTTTTTTCAAACAAGCCTACAGCCGGTCCACTTCACACATGAATTCTCCATTCATTTATTGAGCAAATTCGGCCCATAGAAAAATCAAAGCATCTGGACTCATGGAGAAATCAAGGCTGCTGCATGTCTTTGGCCCATAGCATTTGATTTTCAAAAATAAAAATCCGGCCCATTTACAAATCCAATCTCCAGCAGCATTTCATTCGGTCCATGAAGAGAAAAATAAAATCAAAGCTGCAGTCCCAAAGTTTCAAGACCAGTCCATGAAGAGCTTTTTGCAACCAAGTCCAATTCCAATCTTGAATTTCAAATCCAATCTCCAATCAAATTTGGTCCAATGTAGCCTAGTTCAATTCATTTGGTGTAATTTGTTTGATGGGCTTTGGGCTTCCAAGCTCAAATATTTCATTTTGGCTTCTTGAATGCTGCAAAATAGAGAAGAGAGATTTTGAGGGGTTTTTACATTTAATAATATTTATTTATATTTTCATTCAATTATGTGGAAACTAAGCTAACAACGATTATTAATGGTATATTTATTCATATAAAATAGATAATGAGGATATAAAATTGTAATAAAATGTGATTATCATCTATCCTCCTAGTAACTTCTTGTCCTCTTCCTCATGTGCCACGACCTCGTCCTCGATCGAATGATCGTTCACGATCTCTATTTTGATCTTGATTTTCATGGCCTCCTTGGTACCGTCTCCTACGACCTTGCTGGAAGTTTGAGCCACCTCGAAAGGAGCCTCTGCCTCTGTAGCCTCCACGTCCTCTTCGACTATCTTCTTTGATAGTCATCTTACTCTGCAAGGCTTGCTCTAGATTCTCCGCTTGATTTGAACTGATATTTATATCTTATTCATAAGCTTGCAGAGAACCTTACAGCTCATCAATAGAAACTTCGGAGAGATCTTTAGACTCTTGTATTGCCGGAATAATATATTTGAATTTAGAGTCTAAAGTCCTAAGTATCTTCTCCATAATTCTTACATCATTAATTGCTTCTCCATTTCTCTTCATTTGATTAGTTATTGTCTGAACTCTACTAAAATAGTCTGATATTGATTTTGTAGCTTTCATCTTCAAATTTTTAAATTCAACTCTTAATGCTTGGAGGCGTACCTTTTTGGCTCTTTCGACACCTTAATAGGATTTTTGTAAAATTTCCCATGCTTCTTTAGAGGACATGGCATTGAAAATCTTCTCAAATGCAGATTCATCTACGCCTTGGAATATTAGGAACAAAGCATTTTTGTCTCTTTTTCTGACCTCCTTCAGCTCATTCTTCTGTGTGGCGGTGAGAGTTACTTCTGCTGCAGGTGACTCTGGTTCAGTGTGGACATTCTCCACGAGCTCCCATAATTCTTGTGAGCCGAGCAAGACTTTCATCTGGATACTCCAGTTGTCGTAATTGGTCTTCATCAACTTAGGAATATGTGGCTAGATTATGTTCGCCATCTCGTATACGAGCACCTTCGAATGGCCCGGCTAGATCGAACCTTTCTCTGATACCACTTTGATGGAATTTGCAAAACACAACCCTCTACACAAAGGAAACTTTTATTGATAGAACACTAGGGAGCACAATACTTGCTCTTACAAGAGCACCTCACTTTCACACAACTTTTTATTTTGGTGAACACTCACACAAGCCTACACTACACACTCAAGCTTTCAAGCTTACTTCTTGCTTGCTTGCACAAATAAGAGCCCAAGACCCCCTATTTATAGTTGTTTAAGAGGGCTAGGAAGTGTGTAGAAGAGTTAATCCTAGCCATACATTAGTAAGAAGTTTCTAGAAGAATAAATACTAGCCATACACTTGTATCTTTCTAGAAACTTCTTGATAGATATTTTGTAGGATGTTACTAGAAAGAAGTTCTAGAAAGTTGTTCTAGAATAATCTAAGTTGGTGAGGAATTCTAATAGGCCCCACTATTCCGCAGCACCCTCCGGGATTTCTCCGTCTCCGGCCTCTTCAACCCCGACGGCGACCAATGGAATGGAAGATCCAGCGCATGCAAGGTCGCCAACATCGAGTTCAATACTCGGTCCCTTCGCGATCTCTGCGCGGAGATCGTTCAGCAAGAGACTGCAACTGAGCTAGCTCCTTCCTCTGCTGAACAAGTGTGCTGATAAGGTCGGAGTTGTAGATGCTCGGGATGTGCTCGGACGTTACGCGTTCAACATTATTTGCAATCCTTCGTCTTAAACAAGAGCAGAATTACTAAAGAAAGAAGCAATTTAAAACTATATAAAACACCCCATAAAGGAAACAAACCAGTCTTAATTAAATTAAAATTGATTATGTTTCCTAGTCTAAATTGATTCTGATTCTAGGTTTATTATTAAAAATAAACTAAATACTAATTATTTCTGAAATCCTACCAAAAATAGGTGTTACTGATGGGATTGTGGGATTGTGCTAAACTGATTGACCCCATCTCGTCGAGATACACAATTTTAATATAAACAATTTGTATATACAATATGTTAGAATTTGCCTTATGCATTGGGAGATATGGTTGTTTATCTGCGGCCAGTCAGTAATTCATCCGTATCCGCACTTGACTCATGAAGGTCCCACTTTTTCATAAATTTACTCGTTATGCGTCATACATCGCGGCGGCAGCACATGTCTCTTTTGTAGTTTATTTTGCTAAATGAAATGTCAGCTCATATTCATTATCTCGTATGCGGTCCCGTTCTGATAAGATCCGTAATCAATATCATAGCGCAAGCCCAAACAAATTACATTCACAAGAGCTTGCTGAGGATCAAAGATCACAAGTTTCCAGCCTTATTATCTAATTAGATGCTGTAAAGTACAAGTAATTACATTCTCGAACTCAGCTCATACGACGTAACATCGTCATGTTGAGCTATACTTTTCAATGTGTTCATGTGAATATCTTTTTGTTTGTGATGCATGTTTGTCGCATCTTACGTTAATATTACCATAAAACAACGAGAGATATCTTCAACCTATACCATAATGGTTTACTACCTTATATTGAACCACTATTTGATGTCTAAGCTAGATGGAAGTTTATACGATATATAATTTATACAAGAAAACTAAGTGGAAGCATCTACAAAAAGGACTAGATATAAAAAAAAATAAGCCAAACTTGAAGATACTTGGGGGATCTTTTGATTCTATATCAACTCATAATGCACAACCTGAAGCTAAAACATAAGAAACATGAAAAACCAAACGCATTGGCATAATAGTATCTTGTATTGTAGGTTATTGCTATTCATTCTAATATGTAACACTCACTATACTACCGTGAATTAATCTAATTTTCTAATTTACACTCAAAGAAAACCACAATTGTAATTACTAATGATCTCTAAACTACTTTTAGTTGGTAATCCAAGCATATACCTAATAGAAGAATTAATAAAGGTGATATACCTATAAACAAAAAGAATCAAGACATAAGTTATCAATCCTAAATTGTATTATTTTATATATCTTCACTTGGAACGCGCACCGAAAACGCAGTATTGATCAATTCGGTAGGAGATCATTATGAAATATTTAAGTGATGCGTTTGAGAAGCAACATTTGTTATTAGGCAGGTCACTTCCCACACGAGACAGTGTCCAATAAATAAAAATATAGAAATGTTAGGGGCACACCCCCAACCACAATCTTAACCACACCTCCTCTCTCTCTATAGTGCATTGGGACCCACATGAAATTGTTTTTTAAAATTTCATATAGGTCCCAATGCACTATAGAGAGAGAGAAGGTGTGGTTGGAATTGTGGTTGACAGTGTGCCCCTATCCCTTCCCATAAAAATGGGCTCTTCTATTTGTCTCGCGGGATGGCATCACGCGGCCATCTCGCGTGAGACAATAGGGAGGGTGGCCCCCACAGCTTCTATTTGTCTCGCGGGATGGCATCACGCGGCCATCTCGCGTGAGACAATTGTGGTTAACTTTGTTTTAGGATAAATTTCATAAGACTAGTACGGTTGTTTATATAGAACCACTAACATTTTGTCATTTGAGAAAACTATCATGAATCAGTAAACTAGCACGTCTTGCAGCAGCCAGGGGAAGTTTGAAACTTAACCTTAATTGTCAATTAATTTACTAAAATGGTTTCATAAATTTATGTAGACCTCCGCCCTAGCCTTCTGGTGGGTGGAGACAAGATGGAAGACCAATTTGAAGAATTGGCGCATAATCCTGACATCATTATTGCGACCCCTGGTCGGCTTATGCATCATCTCGTGGAGGTCGACGGGATGTCTCTTCGCACTGTAGAATACATAGTTTTTGATGAAGCAGACGCTTTGTTTGGCATGGGTTTTGCTCAGCAATTGCATACAATTCTCTCCCAGCTGAGTGAAAACCGCCAAACTTTATTATTCAGCGCTACTTTGCCCAGAGCCCTTGCTGAATTTGCAAAGTCCGGACTCCGTGATTATAAGCACATAATGCTTGACCAGAAAATTAGCCCCGACCTTTCTCTATTATTCCTCACTGTGCGCCCCGAAGAGAAAGTTGCGGCTTTGCTATATTTAGTTAGGGAGAAGATTGGTCTTGACCAGCAAACACTTATATTTGTTTCTACAAATTACCGTATACAGTTTCTGAACATTCTTTTTAGAGAAGAGGGCGTTGAGTCTTCTATCTCATACAGCACTATGGACGCTTGTGCTCGGAAAAACAATTTGTCAAAGTTCAAAGCGAGGAAGACTATGTTGCTTATCGCATCTGATAATGTTGAACGAGGCATTGATATTCCGTCACTTGATAATGTGGTGCACTTTGACTTTCCTTATTCACCTAAGAAGTTTTTCCACAAAATGGGTCGTGTAGCTCGTGCTGGACGGAAAGGTACGGCCTATTCATTTGTGACGCCGGCGGATATGCCTTATCTATTAGATTTTCACATGTTTTTCTCAAAGCCTCTTAGACCTGCGCCAACAGAGGAAGAGGTTCTCCATGACATGGAAGGAATATATTCTAGAATTGATCAGGCACTTGCAAATGGCGAGACAATATATGGGCGTTTTCCCCAGAAATTTATAGATCTTGTTTCTGACAGAGTTCGGGAGGTCATTAGCGGATGTGCAGACCTGATGGCATTACAGAAGCCTTGTGCTAATGGATTTCGTTTACATACAAAGATTAAATCAAAGCCTTCCAGAGAATCCATTAGGAGAGCAAATGATTTGCCTCTTGAAGGAGTGCACCCAATGTTTAAAGCTCTACAGGGATCCAGTGAACTGACGGCACTTGCATTTTTTGAACGTCTGAAAGCATTTAGGTTAGTGTTACTTCGAGTTGATAACACTTCTATGGTTAGTTTGACTTGAATATGCTTTAGGCCTTCTATCATTTTTGGCCATTCTTGGCGTATCCTTTTCCACTGATTATATTTTTTTTTGTATATTGCTACTTACCATGCAGACCTTTTTGACTAATTAATTAATCTTCTATGGATGAAAAATTTTCAGACCAAAGCAGACCATTTTAGAGGCTGAAGGGGAAGCTGTTAAATCAAAGCATTCACAAGTAACATGACATTTAACTTGCCTTTTATCTGAACTGCTACATGTAATGTTGTGCTTTTATTATTTCTTGAATGGTTGCATTTGTTTCTACCACTTGAAGTTTAAAAATAGTAAGCAAAGTCGATCTGTTGGGAAACTTTGATCACAAATGAAATCAGAGCTCAACAATATTCTGGATGAATGATCTACATTCTTATTAAACAAACTTGGCTTTATATGCCTTACAGTAATAACAGAAAAGCTAAAAGAAAGCTCACGTTTAGCATTACATTCGCTAACGTGGTTAGTGTAAATTGAACCACTAACAGTCCCAACTAGCCCTAAAGACTTGGGATTTATTAACAGAAACAAAGAGCACTTAGTAAACTCCTAAAAACAAGCAACAACCCTTCAATCCCTCCCCTAAACTAACTGTGATACACAATTAGTTTAGCTCAGCTGCCTTGCAAATGCCCATCTGACTTCTAAACTCTAGAAAGCATTCAACTTCAATGGTTTTGTCATCACATCTGCAGTCTGCTCCTCCGTTCCACAATGCAATAGCTCAACAGTTCCATTCTTAGCAAGCTCTCTCAAGAAATGAAACCGTACATCTATATGTTTACTTCTCCCATGCATGACAGGATTCTTTGACAATTTGATGGTGGAGCTGTTGTCACACATGACTATGGTACCCTTCTTCTGAACATGTCCCAACTACTTCAAAACTCTTCTCATCCACACTGCTTGACTTGCACACCCGGCTACTGCCACAAACTCTGCCTCTGTGGTTGACAATGTAACAATTGGTTGTTTCTTTGAAAACCAAGACACTGCTCCAGAACTTCAAAGGAAAACATAACAGGAAGTGCTTTTCCGATCTTTTAAGTCACCAGCATAGTCACTGTCCGTGTAAGCAATCAAGTCATCCGAAATCCCCTTTTTGTAATGATTCCATAATCAAAAGTACCCTTCAAGTACCTCAATATCTTCTTGGCAACATGTAAATGAAGCTCTGTAGGTTTCGCCATGTACCTGCTGATCAAGCTTACACTGTACATTATGTCGGGACGAGTTACCGTGAGATACATGAGTCTCCCTACAATTTGCTTGTAATACGATTCATCAATTGCAACTCCATCTTCATCCTTGCTTAGATTGAAACCTGGAACAATCGGACTACATGACTTTCTAGCATTCCAAATCGCTTCAAAACCTCCAGTGCATATTTCCTTTGGCAGATGAAGATACCATCAGATTGTTGTGACACTTCAATGCCGAGAAAGAACTTCAATTTTCCCAAATCAGTCATCTCAAAAGTTTTCATCATTGAACACTTGAAACTACTCATCATCTCTTCATCATCACCAATATAGATTAGATCACCAACATAAACACTTACAATAAGTATTTTACCTTATTTGCTCCGTTTTGTGAAAATGGTCTGCTCATTTGGATATCTTTCGAAACCCTCATTGATAAAAGTAAGTCTCTATGCAGCTGAACCAAGCTCGTGGAGTTTGCTTTAAGCCGTATAAAGCCTTGTGCAGCTTGTAGACCTTGTCCTCACTTCCTTTGATCTCATAACCCCTTGGCTGCTTAACATACACATATTCATTAAGTTTACCATGAAGGAAGGCTGATTTTACATCTATTTGGAATATTTTCCAGTTTCTTTGAGCTGCCAGAGCTACTACCATCCTCACAGTTTCCATTCTCGTCACCGGAGCATAGACCTCTGTGTAATCTATTCCATGTTTTTGTGTGTACCCTTTAGCCACTAAACGTGTTTTGTGTTTCTCAAGCTCTCCATGCTCATTATACTTAGTTTTATAGATCCATTTCACCCCAATTTTCTTGGTTCCAACAGGCAATGCAACCAACGTCCATGTCTTGTTTTTCTCTATAGACTTGATTTCGTTGTCCATGGCCAATCTCCAGTTTACATCCTTCACTACTTCTTCATAGTACAATGGATCACTTAACAACATTAGTGTCAAATTACCTTCATCTTCAGATAACCCGAGACCCTCCCCACTAACATAATCTCTCATCCATGCTGGAGGCTTTCTCATTCTCTTACCATCTTCATTATCCTCAATGTCCCCATTATTTGGAGATACCTCTCCCTCTCTCTCACCATTGCTAGTCTCACCTACATCTCCACCAAAATTTTCAACTCCATTAGTGTTGTCACCTCCCTCACCATTATTATCACCTACTCCTGCTACATCAACATCTCCCCATTCTAAATCTACCAAAATCTGTCCTTCATAACTCACATCCCAATCCCATTGTTTCTCTTCTTCAAATATCACATCCCTACTCACTACTATCTTTTTTTAATAGGATTAAAAAGTCTATAGCCCTTGAATTCCTCACTAACACCCAAAAATATACACATAAAACTTCTATTATCAAGTTTAGTTCTTCGTACCTCCGGCACATGAACATGTGCTATGCAGCAACAGACTCGAAAATGATTAACAGAAGGTTTCATTCCACTCCATGCTTCTTCTGGGGTGATGCTTTTGACTGCCATAGTTGGACATCTATTCAGCACATAATTGCTCCAATTTACCTCTTCCGCGCAAAATATTTTTGGGATTTTCTTCTCAGAGAGCATTGCACGAACCATGTTCATTACTGTTCTATTCTTACGTTCAGCCACGCCGTTTTGTTGAGGGGTGTAAGCAATTGTCAGCTGCCACTTAATACCGTTCTGCTCACAGAAATTATTGAATTCAAGCGAGGTGAACTCGACTCCCCTATCTGTATGCATACACTTGATAGACGAGCCTGCCTCATTCTCCACCATCTTCTTAAAACACTTGAAATGACTCAATGCTTCTGACTTCTCCATCAGAAAATATTTCAATGACTTTTTGCTATAGTCATCTATAAGACACAAAGTGTACCTTTTGTTGCTGTTAGACATGGGAGTGATTGGCCCACAAATGTCTGCATGGATGAGATCCAATATCTGACTTGCTCTCCAAGAACTCTTCCTAGGTAGAGGATCACAGTGATGCTTGCCAGCAATGTAGTCTGTGCACAACTCATCTGAGACAGTAAACTCGGGGAGGCCACGTACCATTTTCTTGCTCAGTAATGTTCTCAAACCCTTTGTTACTTAGATGTCCATATCTGCGATGCCAAAGTTGAGACAGATTCTGTGAGCTTGTGTGAAGACACTCTGTTGGGAATTTTTTAATGAAGTGATTAACTTTTGAAAAGTTAATCAAAACGTGCTCAAAAACTTCTTAAAAAAATGCAGCCATTTTTGAAAGATGAAATACAAGATGACAAACTTATCAAAATTTTGCTGAAAAAAGGAAAAAGTGGTGGGCCCCACCATAAGGAAATTAGGACGTGGGCCCTACATGTATAGTAAAATAATATTATTTTATTAGTGTATAGTATTTTTTCAAACGCTATAAATAAACCCCAAACTCTTCAAAAAAATTCATTCTAAAACATCAATATATGCATATACTATAATATATATACTATATATATATATAATATATATATATATATATATTATATATATATATATAATATATATAATATAGTATATAATATAGTATATATATATATATATATATATATATATATATATATTTATATATATAGAGCAAACTTGTGGTCCACTTTAAGTGGAATCACTAAAACTCTTTAACCCTTAGATGTTTCCTAGAGATCCTTGCATGATGATGAAGGACTTTTTATATGTTAAGAGTGGATATAAAGTTTGCGTGGACACACTATTCACTATCCACCTAAGTTGACACCAAGTTCTACTCTATAATATAATATATATATATATATATATATTATAAAATAGCTAGTGCTCGTAAGAACATTGTCTGGATCGAGAAGGTCTTATAGATCGAGGACATCGTTGCTTGGAACGAGAATGTCTTATAGATCGAGGAGATCGTTGCCTTGACCGAGAGGTCCTATAGATCGAGGAGATATTGATAGTACTGGGTCGGTGCACACCAGAGTACTGTACTGCTGTTCCTGAAAGCAATTTAACCTTGGGATCCTTGCACCGGAGTAGGCTAAATATTACTTTAAGCATAACGTTTTACAAACGTATAGCAGTTGCGTTGGAAAATTTTAAATTACTGCACTTCAGCTTTCTTTTCAGTTTTTACTGCTTTATATCTGTATTATTCCAGATTTAATCACAGACGCTAACAATCTTAAAGTAATATTTTAATCTACCATGGATCCTGCAAGGACTCTTGGAGTGGACTGTCTCAAGTTAGAGAATTTTGATGGATCCAACTTCAACGCATGGCGTCGGAAAGTGATATTGGAGATGCAACTCCTGAAAATCTACTATGTGGTTTCTAAGGAGAAACCCGACTCTGAAGAAGATTCTGAATTTGAAGCCTCTTGGGCTAGAGATGATCATTTCTGCAGGAATTATCTCCTTAACTGCTTGACCGATCATTTAGCAGATGCTTACACCAACAAGCTATCTGCAAAGGAAATCTGGAATGCTCTGAAGGACCAGTACAAGGATGAGGAGAAGCTGTCCAAATCTCATCTCATTGATAAGTTTCAAGATTTCAAGTTCGAAGACGACACTGAGGTTTTGCCTCAAAGTCAAAGAGCTTGAAAAGCTTGTTATGAAGCTAAAAGATAAAAAGATCAGTTTTTATCAAACCTTTATTTCTAGTGTAATTGTCAACAAGTTTCCTTCATCTTGGATGTCATTCTCCACTGACATTCGAAGAAGGAAAAGACATGTGACTATCCGATTTGAAAAGATTCATTCGAATCGAGGACGAGACTCAGACTCGCACGAAGAATGAGTTCATCGCTAAACAGAAGGCGTCTGGTAACATGATGGCTGCTAACTCTGAGAAGGGTAATAATTCATCTTTCAACAAGAAGAAAAAGTTCTTTAACAAAAAGAAGAACCAGAATCCAAAGAGCCTGAACATTCAGAAGGAGTTCAAGAAGAGCGGCAAATGTTTTAATTATGGGAAGCAAGGACATTTTGCT